AAAAAAAGGAAATAGTTGTTTTTCCTTCAAACATGAAACAAAATAGTACTTATAGTGGCCACCAAAACAGTACTAAGAAAACACTATTCATATCAACATTATAGTTTCCATGGGTCTCGAGGTTGTGAAGAGGAGGAAGCATTTGGGTTTGAAAGCCTTGATTGATCTCTAATCTGCTGGAGCCTTCTAGTTGTGATTGCTTGATTTCCTTTCCACTTCAATCCACTTGTTGGTTTGAAACCAACATCCCAGTTACAACATTTGATCTCAAAACTCTTTTTGGTCCAGCTAATATTCTGCTACTTGGCAGTCCAGGCTATAAAATTTTTAGAGAAGTAAGGTTATTAGAGAACATATGTTATCAAGTCATGAGGGTACAAACCTTATGAATGCATCACAATACTTACATTGAAAGTTTTGAAACCATTTTCAGCTTGAAACACACCCATTCCAGTTACTCTTGGCCTTTTAAATTGAGTTGTGTTTCCAACACCCTTTCCTTTCCTGGCAGTAGCAGTTTCCTTTGGTGCAACATTTGTATTCTGGTCTACACCCTGTGTTGTACTACCTTGAGAACATGTAAACCAACTTTCTAGTGGATGATTAATACCTCTTGATGCACTTCCCAGTCCCCTACCCCTTCCTCTACCACTCCAGGCTCTTGATGATACTCCGACACCACTTACACTTGCACTTGCTTCATCTGTTGGTGTTCTTGAAGTTGTTGGAGGTGCAGTGGTTCTAGGTGTAGCCCTTGATGCACTTGCACTTGCTTCATGTCGGTGCAACTTTTGATGCACTTGCACTTGCACTTGCTTCATGTCTTAGTGTTCTTGAAGTTGTTGGAGGTGCAGTGGTTCTAGGTGCACTTGCACATGCACTTGCACTTGCACTTGCACTTGCATTTCGCTTGCACTTGCACTTGCACTTTTAGGTCTGCCTCTCCTCTTTTTTGCAACAGGCTCACTCTCAATATTTGTTGATTTCTAATTTGCAAAAAAACATTTATTATATTAGTAAGTTGATTAAACTTTAAAAGTAAGTGACAAAATAGTAATGTACCTTTGGTCTTCCCCTTCCCTTTCTTGAGCTTGATGGTTCTTCAACATTTGAAGTAGGGGTAGCTCTATGTTCCCCGGCAATAGAACCAACTTCATCACTCCTTCGTAAATGACAACTTCTTTTGTTATGACCTTTAACATGGCAAAGACTACATGTCATAGTTAGTCCAGTTTTAGACAGCTTACCAGACACCTTAGTTTCACCAGCCTCTTTCCTTCTCAGCTTTCTAGGCCTGCCTGGCATTTTTGTAATCACTGGTGGAGCAACAAGATTATTTCTTGATTCTGGCCACATTGGCATGTTATTCATAGGTTGTATGAAATGTGAGTAAGTCATCAAGTACCTCTCTTTAGAATAGCATGGATGAATGAAATCATGTGGATCATATTGTCTATGCAACATTGCAGCTAAGGCGTGTGCACATGGTATTCCCTTCAACATCCAAGATCTACAACTACACTCCCTCTTTCTCAAACATACAGTGTGTTGTTTGTATCCATCTAAAACCTCATATCCAGTTACTCCATTAAACTCAATGTTACATGCCATTGACTTATCAATATTTTCTTCTAATACTTTCATTGCCATTGGAGAGAAGTTGGTTATCCAAGAGTTTGGAAATTCACTTAACCTAGCTAACCTAGTCATGACCTTAGTCCTTATCTCTTCAAGCATACTAATAATGGTTTTATGCCTTGCAGACAAAATCCAAGCATTAAAGCTCTCACACATATTATTATCTATTGCATCAGACTTGACTTCACAATTAAAATACACTTTGCACCAATATTCTTTATCATAGTAAATTAGATCATCCACTATACCCGTACCTAGTTTAGACAGCTCTTCCAAATTTTCTCTGAATTCAGCTTCAAAAGTACTTCTAGCACACTTCCAGAACAGTTTCTTCCTTTGCAGCCCTTTCCAATTCTGTGACCAATTTGCTAGTATATGTCTAGCACACCTTCTTTCCTCACAAGCTGGCAATAACTCCTTAATAGCTATATCCAGTCCCTACAAGTTACAACAAACATTAAATAATTAAGTTGAAAAAATAGTAAACCAACAGAGAAATAAAAACAAGTTTACCTTTTGCATGTCTGACATAATGGTGAAATTTGTTCCATCTCCTAATCCTAAATCTTCTTGCAACAGAGAAATAAACCAACTCCAACTATTTGTGTTCTCCTTTTCAACTACAGCCCAAGCAAGTGGAAGCATTTGATTATTGCCATCTTTGGCCACTGCAATAAGTAATTGACCCCTGCATACCCCCTTCAAGAAACAACCATCCAAACCAATGCATTTTCTAGCTGACATGAATGCCATCTTGAGTGCAGCAAAACAGATGTAAAATGCCTCAAATACTACCCTACCAGATTCATTAGCTTCACCAAGCTTCACCACACAAGTACTCCCAGGATTAGACCTTAACAACTCATCCTTATAATCAAGAATTCTCCCAAACTCCTTAACATGATCACCCATAATTTCATTCAAAATTTTAGCTCTTGCTCTTCTAGCTGTGGTCTTACCAACATGCACATTATACTTCTTCCTGATTAGCTCTTGCAACTTGACCACTCTGATATTTGTTATGGATGTCAATTTTAAAAATTTGAAGCTATTCAATGAAAAATCAAGTTGTTTGATCTATTTCGAATGTAATTTCGTGGGTTGAAGTTTGTTGAAGATAATTTAAAATAAATAAATATTGCATAATAGTAAAGTGTGTATAAACGACTCTATATATTATTATTACTCGTTTATATAAGATTGACACATTATTTACTGTTAATGTCTAATATTGTATACTAAATTTTTAAACACTGTTATGAAAATTGAGATATGACTATGTGAGTTGATTGTGTTGTTGGTATGATATTGTCTTCCATTGACCTATTGGAATAAAAATGCCCCGCTGTTAACTTTTTAGGTTAAGTCTACCCTTATTTCTAATGGGTTACACTCACAAGGTGGACAAATGACAATATTGTACCAAATTCAGGATTCATGAGTGTTTCAGGTCCTTCTTTGATAAAATAATTAATAATTTAACTTGTATACACAGGCGGATCATTACATTTACCATAAAAGTGTTAAGCATAATTGTCTGGTTCACCTGTATCGTAAAGGGATCGGATAACCAACTACTAGAGTAGCGAATGATGTCTTGGATATATCCAGTATAGAATTCTCATGTTAATAGTGAATTTTTTTTCTTCGTGTGATTGGATTTCTGTGTGGAGCTCTGGTAAAACCTTAATAGGTATAGCGCTTGATGCTCACAGGACACACGAACTATTTGCCAGTATGAATTACATGTGTTGTTGCAATGATACTAATTTACAAGTCTTCTGCATTTTACCCTTTTGAGGTTTGCTTTTCTAAATGCTGCCAAAAAAAGTGTGTTGTTTTTATCATTTAGCTCTTTTCTTCATCAGAGCTGTGAATGTTAAATGAAAAATGAAATAAAAAAAGGAAGTTCAATATTATTCTCTAATTACAATGTGCTTCTCAACAGTTTACAACCCTCAATATATTATTCTGCAAGACCTGCAAAATATTTCTAAAAGAAGGAATATAACTACAAATTGCATAGCACCAAGTCATAACCATAGAAGATATAAACTATAGAATGAACACATGAACATGTCAGATAGAGATGCTGTTCGGAATACCGCGACAGGTAACTCCAGGACCAGAAGTAGGTAGCAGCAGTTCATATGGAGGAACACCAGCACCACTTCGATTCTTAAGACGGATATCCTTGTTTCGTTGGTTGATGGTATCTTCTATCTCCTTTAATTTGGCAGAGAATCTTTTCAAAATCTTCAAAACTTCATGATCATTTACGGAGAATAGTTGAATTTCGTGTAACTGATACATGTATTCCTCGTCTGCTGAATGAGTCGACAAGGTATCTTGAACAGCCATCACTTTAGTAGCTTGGAGTTGAGTAGGCAAAGATGCAAGAAAAGTGTACTCAGGGTGAAGAATAAAGTTCTCATAGCTGGGATCATCTTCATGTGGAATGAGCTTTCGCATAAGGGTAGGACGGTTAGGTACATAACCTCCGAAAGGGTACTGCCCGAAGTTTATTGCTGCATGTTGGGCTGAGGCAGTCCAGATCATTGTGGTGAGTATGCCAGACAAGTCTTCTTTAGTAACAAGCTTTGGCCACCAAGGCTCATTTTTCTTATCCACGTGTCCCTTGTTCTTGATCTCATTCCACCAGCCCTGGAGCTCAACGTCAGACGTGACAGAATTAGGCTCGGAATAGTAGTGATCAACATAGGACTCCACATATTCTTTTATTGCAGACCATATGAGAAGGCCATCTGCTGCATAAGGGTAGTCTTCAATCACCAGTTTCACCCCCAAAGGCATCGATGTATCCTCCACAGCCATTCCCCTTAAAAGCAGTCAATGTTGTGTTTATTAGTTGAAAAGGTAGTAAGGTTAGTCTGAGCTTGAGCACGCAACGCAAATAGTTACATTTCAAGGTTTAAAGAGATGTCATGATTGAGAAATTTTACCTTCTTAGTAAATCTGCAGGCAGTGCTTCCATATCAAACCGCCACATGCTCTTGTAAGCGGCGGAACTTATTTCCATTGAATACCTTCCAGGACTAAAACATGCTTCAATAACTCCACCCCCATTTATCAAACTCTGCCTTGCAAGCGCATTGATTTCCAGCGTGTAGCGCATATGAGGGTGAAGTAGCTTATAAATTGGGTGCATTGAGCTAAGATGCCTATGGGTTGCAATGATATATGGTTCCATACAAGCATGAGTCCTTAACCTGAGAGATTAATTTTACATGCACAGTGAGGCACCTCCCTGACTGATAGAGTCAAAGCTAGAAGACCATTAGATTTTACGAAAGCACAATGAGAATGAACATTGGAAGAACTCTATGTAAAAATGTTTACAAGAAAAATACTAAAGGGAAGAAGAGAAGGGCTCTAAGCTTACCAGTGGTTCACCAACTGATGGACACCAGCATCATTTGAACAAACATGTGCTTTGGCTAGATTCCATATCCAGTGATTGGTTGCATCTTGTCCATGGGAGAATATACGCTTGTTCCTAGGTGAAGAAGGTATCGGAGGCAGTGACAGTTCAACAACAATTGGCTTTAGAACACCTCTGGATGTATAGAAGAAAAGTGTTCTTGATGCATAAGCTTTTCTCCCCGGCAAGGAGTTCATCTTCCCAATAAAAGGCAAAAGCATGTCATGATAATCAAGTATAAACAATCTCTTATCTTGAATAGCCTGAACAGAAAATTTTAAGTTAGAGCTGGTTTACACATAAAAAGAAAAACAGCTATACTAGATTTCCCAAATAACATTTTGGAAAAGAATCACTACCTCTTCAACACTCATTCCGTTAAGCTCTTGTTCTATAAGATCCCGCGTAATAGCTGAATCAGGGGGGCCATAAACAGCTGGATCTAGCTTGCTAACAATTGGAAATTCCTGTTAAACATCCACAAGCTTAGTGATCAACTAAAGAAAAATTATAATTGATTTAGTACAAAAAATACTAATAAGAAATTACCCTCAAAAGTTCAATGTTCACAGGGTTAACCCCTGCTAAAGCTTGTCGCGCAAACTCATTATCTCGCAACCAAGCAAATCTATCCCCTGCGAGACAAAAACCGAAAGATGCAGAGTTATGAAATGTCACTCCAGGAACAACGATTGGAAAGAATTAGAGGATAGCAGGTTTCTGATGGCACATATGTAAGTCTAGTAGACAAACAGGACTCCTCAAGTTACAACTTTCAACAATGTTAAATGATACTGGTAAACATATATCAATGAAAATGTAAATGTGTGTGCTTACGTCTGATTATAGCAGGAATCTCGTACTTGAGCAACCTTTTGCTGACAGAAAACACTTTATCCAAAGTTTCAGAAAGAAATTTATTCTTCTGTGGATCATTATCATCATTCAAGACAACCCCATCCTTATACAGTTTATCTATGTCAGTGAAGTTTGTAAAGGGAATGAATGTCTGAGCTTGACAATGTAGCCGCAATTAATGGTACCAGGTTATGTAACAGAGCTTTCAACCTTCCAGCAGAAAAAGTATTTTGCTTAATTTCTTCAAAAGTTTCGTCTCTAGGGACGTAAACTGGATGAGGTTTCTCTATTCTTCTTTCTGCAAGTGGATCTTTCAGCATCCAAAGATCAAGAAAAAGTCGGTATAAGAGTGTCGGGGCAACAAACTAAATGAAAAATATACTCTTCAGCAGAATGCTCAGTACCTTTCTTAGTTGGACCTCTACCAGTTCGACAGCGCCTAGGATAAGGTTTCTCTTTGCCACCTACCAGTGGCCTAGCAAGATCCTCACTTTTGTCAGGATTGCCTAAATCATTATAAACATCATAATCATAGATTCGTTCATGTAGCTTCCTTTCGCCTTTACCATTGCCACGAATGCTCAACAAGTCTTCACGTCGAAGATCCTTGATACCAGGTGGTGTTTGAGATGGTAGATATGCCTGTTATAAAATGCAATGACATCCTTGATCAAGCACCATTATCTACTTTGCTAATGAAAATGAAAAAGTAAAATCATTTGAAAGTATGTGGCTTACCTGATTTTGGAAGATAATTCTACTCTCTGGATTATCTTTTTGAGAGTGTATCCATGTATTAACACTAAAGAATAAAGGTCCTTCATTAAAGCCATGAACAACAATCTGCACCAAGTGTATCTCTTTGTCAAGGAGATTGGTAATAATGATAGCACCAGGACGTCCAAAATCATGTGGTACAGTGAAATTTGCAGCATATTCAACTATATGTGGATGATCAGAAGGCTTGGACAACCAACCCCTCACATAAGACTCCGCAAACTTTCCCGATTTGGTAACTGTGAGCAGAATATAGTTTTAGTACTTCATTAACCTCAGAATACTACTCTGAAGTGTCCAGTGGAAATGATGTTTATGTCGTATGCATCCACCAGTCACAATAAACGGAATCATTATGAACTAAGTTTGCAACATACTGTGTTGGCAACCAAGTCTTTCACAACATGAAACAAGACAAACGAACTAAAAGGCACCCAGAAATACTAAAAAGTAGGAAAGATAATACAGTTGAGAACAAAAGGCACAAAAAGAATAGATGATGACAATGTATATCTGCACTAGGTGGTCTTTTCCACTTTCCACCAAACCATATGTATAATAATTAACCATAGCTAACTAATCTATAAGTTTATGTGCTAACTCATTTCATACAGTTATAAGTCAGGTGTACACACCATGTACTAATAAGTTTTTCCTTCATTTTGCTCCCACAACAATAACAACAACATACCTAGTGAATCCCACAAAAAGGGATAGGAGAGGGTAAAGTGTACACAATCCTTACCACTACCTCTCCGAAGTAGAGAGATTGTTTCCGAAAGACCTCTGCTCAAGCAACTCAAAGCAGTAATAAAAAAAGGCAGTGGGGGTTTTA